TCAAGTAGAGGCATACTAGGGACACAGTGTTTTGTCTATGTATTCACACATGTATCAAGTTTCCAGTTATTAAAATTCTAGCATGAATAATAAACATTTATCATGAATAAGGAAATATAAAATAACAACTTTATTATTGCCTCTAGGGCATCTTTCCTTCAGCTTCCTCCTCCTAGGTTGGCGCAACAAGGGTGGGTCCCCTTCCCCCAAAATCTAGGCGCCAAGAGCCGAGGGGGCACCCCACTCTTTTTTCCATAGGGCCAATGCCAAGGGTGGGCCTCTTCCACTTGGGCCTTACATTGAGGACTAGCCTATGATGGCCTAGGAACATTTCTTGAGACTACAAAAATTTTTGGAACCTTCCTGAGCCTTTCACTGGTCTTTTCTGGTCCTGGGGCGCCACAACGGTGAGAGATGGGAAACTTCCTTTTATGTCGATGAACCAATAATGTTGCCGATTCATTTTCTTTTTTCCTGCTCCGATTTATCTTTTCATTTATTTTATTCATTTACAACAATGATTTGTTTCCATCATTAACACTATTATTCATATCCTATTATGGTTGCGCGGCTCACTGGCGTCCGGGAAGGGCTTATTTACTATTCAAATATTCGTTTTCTATCACCAGCATTAGTCGTTTTTCATATATATATATATACACACGCATATCGCATTATTCAATGCCAAATACTTATGCTCCGCACTGAGCCGTTCGGCGGCCTCTCGCCTTGCCAAGTGGGCAGCGGACCGCGTGGCTGCGGGTGCGAGCCACTTGGCCGCACTGCTGGAGTCACCCCATCACTTCTATAGACCTTATTTTTGAGTTCTGATAGCATCTATAGCCAAACACATCAAATGAGGCCCCTCAAATAACTGCAGACATGTCCAGGGCACTGACCGGGCACTCCTCATTTTTGTGCGTCCGCACCCATGTATCTTAAATTTGGATCTTCATATCCATGCAACTCATGCACGTATGAAAAGAAACTTACGTAGATCAAGGAACTAGCACCAAATCTAGTTAAATTGGGACATAATTCTAGCATAAACAATCATCTGGCAACCAAACGATGCAGTTTCAATCGAACATTACCCTAAACATACGATATAAAAACTTAACTAAACGGGGAACTGCATAGGAAATCACCATTTTCTTGGAGCCCCATTCCCCTTGCGGTCGGTGCTGCTGCTTTGGCCTTCAGTGTAGGCATCGGCCGTCGGAGAGTCATCGTCATTGTCGAAGCTTGATCCGTCTTCGGAGTCGTTCGAAAGCTTCATGTAACAAAATTTCGATTTCTAGCATGGAACAAAGTTGATTTTGGATCAATACTTTAAATAATTCTATAAATACAAGGCTAACAATACTCGCAAATGCATATGTGCTACTTGTGAGCTGCGTTGGGATTTCCCGGAAGAGGAGAGGATGATGCAGTACAATAGAGACAAGTATTTTTTTCAATTAAGAACTAAGGTTATCAATCCATTAGGAGAACCAAGAGAACACCTCGTTAACAACACCTGCACATAAAATGACAAATACTTGCACCCAACGCAAACAAGGGGTTATCAATTCCTTGGTGGTTAATTGCAAGGATAAAATCTTATGTAGGTAGATGGATAAATAAAATACAAAATAAAATAAGTAAAGAAAAAATGCAACAAGGTATTTTTGGTTTTTGATATATGATGAAAATAGACCCGGGGGCCATAGTTTTCACTAAAGGCTTCTCTCTTGAAAATATCATATAGTTGGTAAAGAAATTATTGTTGGGCAATTGATTGAAAAGCGAATAATCATGATGATATCTAAGGCAATGATCATGTATATAGGCATCACGTCCGAGACAAGTGGACCAAAATGATTCTACATGTACTACTATTACTCCACACATCATCCGCTATCCAGCATGCATCTAGAGTATTAAGTTCATAAAAAATGGAGTAATGCCTTAAGCAAGATGAAATGATGTAGACAAAGTAAAGTCACATATGAATAAACCTCATCTTTTTATCCTTAATAGCAACGATACAATATGTGCCATGTCACCTTCTGTCACTAGGATTGAACACCGCAAGATCGAACCCATTACAAAGCACCACTCCCATTGCAAGAAAAATCAATATAGTTGGCCAAACCAAATCCATAGATCGGAGAGAAATATGAAGCTATAATAATCATGCATAAAAGAGTTTAAAGAAGACTCAAATAATGTTCATGCATAATCTGATTATAAACTCACAATTCATCAGATGCCAACAAATACACCGCAAAAAGTGATTACATCGAATAGATATCCAAGAACATTGAGGAGAAAATTGTATTAAAAATCAAAGAGAGAGAATAAGCCATCTAGCTACTAGCTATGGATCCGTAGGTCTGTGGTAAACTACTCACACATCATCAGAAGGGCAGCAAGGTTGATGTAGGGCCCCTCCATGGTTGAATCCCCCTCCGGCAAAGTGCCAGAAAAGGCCCTAGATGGGATCTCTCAAGAACAGAAACTTGCGGCGGCGGAAATATGGTTTCTGTTGATTTCCCGATTTTAGAGAATTTAAAAAGGCGGAATTAGGTCAAACGGAGCAAAGGTGGGCCCACGATGGGCACGCCCTAGTGGTTCATGGCCACCTCCTTTCGACTTCTGACTTCCTATCGAAGCTTCTAGTGTCTCTTTTGCCTAGAAAAAAATATTCAAAAAGTTTTTTAGCATTTGGATTTCGTTTGGTACTGATATTCTTGAAAACAAAAAAATAGGCAAAAATAGCAACTAGCACTGGACACTAAGTTAATAGATTAGTCCCAAAAAATAATATAATTGCTTGAAATTGCATATAAAACATCCAAATGATACTATAATCGCATGGAACAATTAAAAATTATATATACGTTAGAGACATATCAATATGCTATTATAAATGGCTGCCACAACCTTAGGAAACCAAATTTGGGCTGACCCACCTGTTCAGAACAGTCAGCGGTGCCCGACTCCCTTAGTCGAATATCCATAGCACGAGGCAGACCCCAAAGACCCATTGGCCTTGGTGTTTTTTACCAGAGCAAAGTCCAATGGGTAACATTGGCCCACTCCCATCTTCGCGTTGCCTATCTGACTAGCTTTTGTTAGGACCACGTCGTCATATCTGGCTGGTTGAGCCTCATGATAGCATCTTTAGCTGGGCATCTCAAACCATCTCGAAACGTTTGGGTGGACAACTCGGTCATTGGCTCGTAAAAAAAAACCGACCCATCTGGGCGCCTTAGATCGTCCTCAAACGTCGGGCTGTCCGGCGCCCCACATACTAGCCTAAACCGAAGTTAATCCGCAGTCTACTGCACTTCCCTCTTTGCCAACTCCACTCCCAATCCCTCCTCGATCTGAATCGATGACTGGCGACGGTAGCAGCACTGGCTTTGGTGGCGAATCTGGCGGCTCCGATGGGATGTCGAGCCTGTTGCACGACGCAGAGCTCGACAATGTGGAGGAGATGGCAGAGATGGATGCGCGGCACCTCCATCGCAACAATACCAAGGCGCACCGACTCGCCATCGATCTGTTGGAGCGCGAGGCAAACAAGGAGGCGTTGGCCAAGGCGAAGCCGGCCCGGCATGCGAAGGAGTTGGACGGCTTGTTCCGGAGGCTATTAGGCCAAACATGCTTCGACGACTTTGAACTGACGAATGGCTGCACCTGCAACTCAGACGGCTACGCGCCGCCCCACGCCGGCGCGTGCATGGAGGAGGTGCTTAGCCGCGCCAACAACCGCATGGGAAAGGGCTCGAGGAGAAAATGTTGATTTCCTTTACCCTTCCCTGTTTTATGTATGTTTTACTTATTCTTTAAGTAGTTTGCAGTACTGATTTGCATGGTACGCAGATGAATTATGGTCCTTTTGTCGGCGTTGAAATGGTGATCCTACATAAAGTTGCATGGGTTGGAGGTTTCAGAAATGAGAGACCTGGCTGTGGGTGCAAACATATAAGACGTGTCCGCGGGAGTTGGAGGGGCTAGATTTTCCAACCGTGGCCGTAAAGAGAGTTGACTCAAAACCATTAAAAAAAACTCAGAGATCCCCCTCAAAAAGAAAATGAAAAACTCAAAGCTCAAAACAGGGTCTAGACTAGAAGAAGAGAAGCGGCGGGGTGGCTCCAGCGTGGCAGGCCGGGGCGCCCACGTGGCCGGCACGCGCGTCCACGCGGTCCGCTTCCGCCTGCCGCTGCCGCCCGCCCGAGCGGCCGAGAGCGAGCGAGTGTACAAATGTCCGACATTAAACAACCAGATATGCACATATATATAAACCGAATAATGCTGGGGATAGAAGGCGAATATCTGGCGAGTAAATAAGCAGAAATAAAGAAAACCGGTGGCAGTATTGCGGGTCGCCCACAGGAATGAGCGCCTGGCCAAGGTCTCCTTCGTCTCCCCCCGCTCGCCCCCGGTTTTGGTTTCTCTCCGGGCGGATTCCTCGTCTTCATACGAGCAGAGGATGGACGCCCCGCCGATACTCCCTCCTCAATATATACCCCGCCC